AATCTCGTGAAATTATTATCTCAGCCAAACGCTACTTAGAAAGGATAGAAACCATTTGCAAATCCTTTTTTAAACAGACAAAAATTTGGAGTACTAATTTTTTGTGACTCATTAAAGATTCCTTAAATTTTCTAGATATAATTCAATGCCAGAAAATTGTAGTGACTGTAATAATGTTACTTAACATTGGCAATTCATATCAAGTGTTAACTGTGTGTTTTTATTTTCGATAAACTGTATCAAATAAGACTGATAGATGGTTTCTACTTAGATTTTTAATAGAGTTTTGTGAATTAACATTACAGTACTGACGTTCACTGAATGATGATGCAGTTTAGTGGTCTTTTAGCTTCTCGATTATATTGAGGAAAATGTTACACATGAGTATTTATAAGTTTTGATTACCATAGATGCTGATCAGTAGAATGTTTTACAAGCAAAACCAAACTGTATTCTAACTATAAGAGGATTAATTTTCTTTTGTAACAATGTAATTCACCAGTTTCTTCTTACAAACCATTTAATTAATACAATGAATTCACATCAGATTTCTAAGTTTAAAAATCTATCAATCTATCGAGTCTCGGAATGAACATCAACTCTGGGATGCAGGTACATCCAACTGACGAGTCCCAAATAGGACGAAACGCGCGTCCTGGATTCCACTGCTAGCCACTATCCACCTTTGATTAAAATGATTGATTTTATGTTTGAAATTTATGAAAATCAAAGTAGAATGTTAAAAATGTTTTCCATAAGCAACTGGTGCTAGTTACTATGAGATACGATTCCTTAATTTAAGGATTATCTAGAAGACACGTTATTACAACATTATTAATAACAAGTAGTATATCTACTTTTGTAGTTTATTAATCAGTGTCTTAACATTTAATTTTACTTAGACTTCGTGAATTAACCCAGAATTATCTGACTGGATTTTTGATCGCTGACTTTTGTGTTATTATGTTTTTCTTCTTTTCTTTAAGTTTCATCATTATTGCCCTCAATCCTACCATTCAATCTTCCATTCTAACTAGCGCTTATAGATACTTAGGTAATAGTTATTGTTATTGTTCAACAAAAAAGGTAGTTAGCTAATAAATACTTCTTTTTCTCTGAAATGATAAAATTGAAACAAATCGGGTTAAATTAAATACATTTTAAATAATATACTTTATCATTATTGAATTTATGTTCCTTCTTCTTAATTTCTTCTGCCTCAAAGCTAATTTCTCTCATCTTCACACTATTCGACCACTAGTTAACCATTGTCAACATTATTTATATCCACATACAGATATCCATAATAGTATATGTATTTCAGTGTTTGTTTATGTGTTAGTGTGCACAGGGATAACTTAGTTTGAAGAAAGCAAAACAAAACAAAGTGAAACTATGAAAATAAGACAATAAGAAAAGCTTAATGAAATCTTTTAGTAAAAACGAATTTCTAATGGTCGATTATCATATTGAATGGCCTTTTTTGAACAGATACAAATATACACTGTATAGATATATTTATCTTTATGCATGTATGAGTGTATGTAAATATATTAACATTCTATAAGCTTGTATGTTCATATATACAGTTTAGTTAAGTAGATAAATAGATAGATATGTATGTCATCAAGTTACTTTCTGTTAAATTAATATTTGATCATATCTATCAGTAACGCATGGATAATTATTTCTAAGATGCATTAAATGTCAACTTTTCTTAATACATAAATGTACGTATATGAGTACGTACATCATAATAGAACAACGCTAAACAACATATAATGTACAATCAAATAAATGAATAGTCTTTAAAAATTCATTCGTTAATTTTCTTCGTTTGTATTTTTCTCCTTCAACCAACCACCCACCCACTCACTCACTCTCTCCCTCTCTCTTAATTTATTTTTTTTACTGTGCGCAGATTTTCCTATTTTTAAAATAATCGGATGATTAAATTTTTAATTACAAATTCGAAATTAGTAAATAGGTAATTATTAGTTGAAAATGAAAGAAAAGAAAAAAAATTAATTAACTTCTCTCTCCCCCCTTAAAATATTGAGGGGATTAATATTCTCTTGAAAAAATTTACTTAATATTTTTTTGTGTGTGTATTATTTTGTATGTGCATAGATGTATGTGTGTGAGTATGTAAATTGCTCTTTATTTCATTGGTGTATTTAAGATATGATGTATGATGTATATATGTAATAATCTATAGTAGATGCTTTGCTATCAATAATAACAGATGGTAAACTGTTAACCTTTAAGAATATTATTTTATTGAAAATGATATACATCATAAATCAATGAACAAGTGTTTTGTTCAATTAAGAAACTTTCTTTTTAAACAATCTATCCATATGAAGAATATAGAAATAGTTATTTAACACTTTCTTACATATGATACTTAATCTCGTGGGGTGCGGGATCGTAGATGAGCACTACTGAGAAGTCCCATACTAGAACAAAATAGCCGTCTAGTACTTCCAGGTTTTCCATGGTGGTCTAGAATCAATTGACTCATGATTTCAATTTGTGTAATTTTTAATCTTTTTTTGGTTGAGATCATGAATTAATTGATGTTAGACCACCGTTGGAAACCTGGAAGCACTGGACGGCCGTTTCGTCCTAGTATGGGACTCCTCAGCAGTGCGCATCCACGATCCCGCACCCCGCGGGATTCGAACCCAGGACCTACTGGCTTCGCGCCTGAGCACTTAACCATTAGACCACTGAGCCGGCATCCAATGGTATTAATGTCTAACATCCACCAATCCACGAAATTGCGCGACCAACTTCCATTGTACTGAGGTAGATACCTGTCTCTACCCGACACGGATTAGCTCCACTGATCACGACTTCTCACTAGAACTCCGAGAATTCCTTCACGAAGCTAGTCACTAGTGAGCGCATGTTAATTATCAGTATGGGGGTTGTGGAGATTGTTAAGTTTTTGGTTGAGATGTACAAATAAAATGAAGTGAATGTAGTGGATGGTTTATATCTGATAAAAAAGCATTTTAAATAACCTTGTTTTCAATTGTTCGTTCAAATGTTCATCCACAACCATATTCATAATGACGTTAGAAAATTCACTACTTACTTTGCCGACTACCTTTAATGTATTCTGAAACACAGTCAAATCTCTTCTCAGAAGTTCAGGAAAATATACAATGGGGAACAGTGTTGAGTAATAAATAATACGTAATAGTTTATAAATCGTAAAAGTAATCATCGACGAACTCCAAAAACGTGTAGCCTCTTTAAATAAAAAGTCAAATAAAAACTCTAATATTGACGATCAGAAGAAAACTATACACCAGGATAAATGATATTTGACTTGGTTTTGATTACAAAATCTCTACCTGTACAAATTTAATTTGATTCTAAAAGGATGTTTAGTTGCTTCTCATTGATTGATTCAGTGAAAATTAATGTGTTTCCAAGATACTGAATAATTTTGAGAAAAAAATTCATTACAGATAAACTAGTTAGTGAATGAATGTTAAAAATCTAATTTACACTGCTGTTATGGTAATTGTTATCTATGATAGAAGGAGAATTACAATCATTTCGTTGTAATTATCCTTAAAATAAAAAATTTGTTAACTGGAAGCAGAAACATTCACTTGACTTCATTCACGGTAAAAATAGGGATATACGGTGGATTGGATAAAAGAAATTACTTGCAAGTATATAAGAGCATTAGGCAGTTGGTGTTACAGGGACCTAAGGAAGATTCTTTATCTAGATTCATTTCAGTTTAAAATAGAAAGGACCTACATGGAACCGAAATAAGTCTATGCAACATATGAAGCTTCTGTATTGGGAGCAATACTGTGTTTGTAAAACTAAGACCGATATTCTGGTTGGCTGTTCAAGATCAAAGAATATTTCATAATAATTTCTTTCGGATATTCAGTTTTTTGAAGACATATTGAAAAAATTTGTTCTATTTCCTCCTCTATTCTCCCATTAAACACAGTCTTCTAGCTCTTTTTAATAAGGTTTTGGTTAGACAATGTTTTTAACTAACAGAACAAAAGCTATTGTGGTATAATTATTGCCCCGTCCATGTTGTTTTTCTGAATATAGTCATCTCGATTGTCCCGTTTTTTCTCATTTTTATTTCCAAGTCTAGATCGTTAAATTGATCATTATGCTTTTATTTCATTGTCGATTAGATGTTAAATAATGTTTCGTTGAAATAGTAAAACAACTATGAAGCTTTATCAAAGATAATGAATTTATTTTATCCTGGTAATTTTGCTCTTTTCACTAGCTTTACGACTGAAAATTTATGATTGTTAGAAAACTTTTTCTTTTCCAGTACTTGATAATTCAGTAAACAGTGGAACTGAAGATGTTTTAATTATTCATTATCTTGATTTTAAACGTCACAGAACTAAATTCATTCTTAACTTTCATCTATAGTCGACTAGTTTAGTAACCTAAGTTTGTATAGTACAAGTATAATTTTTGATAGTTATTATAACTAATTGAACGGTAACAAAATTAGAAATGGTTACAACAGACTTAATTTATGAAGTCACGCGGTGGTAATAGGAAAATTTAATTTCTACTAATAAAATGAAGCAGTAAACTGAATTAAATATTTCACCCATTGGTGAATTCCAAATTATAACCAGAAAGTAGTCAGGATTCAAATTTTAAATAATGCACCACTGTTTAAAAAGATATCTACAGATTACTTTAATTTTCGTATTCTAATTCGTAATCTATAAGCCCCTGTGAGGAGTTAAACTATATAGAATTAAAGTACAAATTATTTGGGTTAGGGTGTGTGATTGGATTTCAAGAATTCTGGAAGATGATAAATAAACCTAATTAACTACTTAGTAAAGACATTTTATAGAAGCCCATGAGTTTAAGCTTTACGAGTGATTCGAGGTATATTGTATGGTCGTTTTAATTTGAGACTTACTTCACGGAAACTGTGATGGACATTTTTCACGTTTAATTTTTTGTTGAAATTTCAGGTCCAAGAATAAGAAAACCAAGAATGAACCGTTCACATGATGAACTTAATTTGAAGCGACCACGTACCTCATTTACGGTACCACAACTAAAGCGTCTAAGCCAAGAGTTCGAAAAAAATAGGTAAGCTGCGTTTTATCTCTTTTGGGATTTATGTTGATCATTCTGTAATCAAATAGTCAATGATACTTAAATAACCTCGTTTTACTATTTTACTACTTATATAAAATCACAGTAGTTTAGAAAAAATTGGAAAAGTATAGTACGGTTCTGGTTCTTACAAATAAGCAACAAAATACTTTGTTTCATATTTTGAAATATGAATGATGTACAGTGTCTTGATAGCTATGATTATACTCTCACACCATATGTTATAACATGTTCCCCGTAAGAAAGTTCATGAACATTTAGTATCATTAATTGTAATCAATATTTTGATTGTCTTTGAATAGTATCACTCATATTAATTATCGACAATATAAATAAAAAAATATCATCTTACGACATAGTTGAGTTGTTATCTCAGTCAACCACGATAACGTCACAATCAGGAAGTTAGGCATTATATTTGTGCACGTAAGTATTCTTATTTTTCATTCATTATTGAGTATAAGATCACCATCAGGTGAATGAATGGTTGGCATACAATCAGTATCTCAGACGTTTGGAAATTGCATGGAGAAGTTGTAGTACTCTCTCTCTCTCTCCATATATATATATATATATATATATATATATATATATATTGTAAATCATCTCTCTATATGAATAACTTTACCACTAAATCTTTCAGACTCTGGAACAATCTACCACAAACTGTCTGCGAGGTAAAATCACTCACATCCTTTGTTCGCTACATCGATGCTTACTTCTCCTCTGAAAATGCTTTAAATGTTCTTATACGTATATCTTACTCCGCAAGTGAGATTATAGGAAATTCATATATTTGGACGTTTTTATTATTGAATTCACTAAGTAAACATCCATACCTGCTGTTGCTTTACATTAACACAGGCCCTGGCAACCGTTAATGATTTGAATAATATCTTACACAAACAGCATATCGTAAAATAACCTGACATATGTATTATGGTAGACCTAACTAACCTGTTGTATTAATTATTGTCTTTTATGTTCCGTGCTCTCTGTTTCCACCTTATTTTCTCTAGTAGTAAATGGTTATAATCAATTCGTTATGGCTCAGAAAATGACCTCAAATGAACCATTCCTATATTAATAGGATGTCAGCTTAGAAAGAATTTAAAGTTATTGGCTGATGCTTTCCATTGATGTACTACATATATTAATAGTACTACCTAAATACTTTTAGAACTAGAACACTTCAAACAATCTAATCTCACGTATCTGTTCTCTGCATTTAAACTTACTATCTATATCAAACTGGTCATGCTTGTAAACTAGTATGAATTCTGTCATTATTATTTTCAGAATACATAATATTATTATATTGTGTCGAATAAGGCTGCATGCGTAACTAGAAATTTTAAATTATTGGGTGATGGAGGTAGTTATCCTGGTTAGATAGTACTTAAAAATATATTTATAAACTTATCATTTAATTAGTTCAATATATTTCATCAGATTGAAGGGGGAAAAACTAAAATTACAGATTCCTCCTTCAATTTATTTTTTGACTTACAATTCAAGAAGAAACACATATCGTGGGGGGCAGGATCGTGAATACACACTGCTAAGGAGTCCCATACTAAAACAAAACGGCCGTCCAGTGCTTCCAGGTTTTCCATGGTGGTCTAGCTTCAATTAATTCATGATTTCAACTATAGAAACACATTTGTTAATAACTTATTGAATTTTTCTATTTTTCGTTATCTCTATTCTTTCCTTAATTTTAAAAAAAACAACACAATATCCAGATATCTTGATGAATTACGTCGAAAGAAATTAGCTACAGAACTGGATTTAAGAGAATCTCAAGTGAAAATATGGTTTCAAAATAAACGTGCAAAAACTAAAAAGGTAATTTCCTTGATATAAATTAAATAATTAGTACATTCTTAAGAACTATATGGACTCAAAAATGATTCGTTTTGATTAAGCTGAACTTATTTATGTAAAATATAGTATACTATGGAATTTTATTCTAAATTATATACTAAAGCTTGGTAAAATGGGAATTACAGTCCTCTTGAAAAAAAAACGGTGTGGAAGAAACTGAATTGAATACAGTCATTCTATGTAAATTAATTTCTTACCAGTATCAGTGCAAAATTACTATGTGATACAGATTCATTTAGTAAGTGGGTGTTAAATATGCAAAACATGAAGTATTGTAACGATTCTTTAGGAAGAATAGTATTTTCGTAACTGTATCAAGTTTATTACATATAAAAGGAAATTAATAGTTATGTAATATTTGTAATCAGGTAACATCAATAGATAATCATACACTTTAACCGGTATAATTACAAATAACTGTTAAAAACATGTTTGTCATTGGATTATTCGTTGAATACTGGTAGTTAAGTGGCTAAATGTAGATTCACAAAAATTCAGCTTTTGATGTAGATACACTTTTACTGGGCTTTCTTAAAAAAAAATGCTTTTCGTAAAGTAAATTATCTTATTCCACATATTGTGGAATAATTAATTAACAATTTCTGTAATGAGTCTAATTTATAACAAAGACTGATACTAATGTTAAAAAACTAAATGAATGAAGCTGACAAAATACAGAAAATATGGAAGACTCATCAAGTCTGAAAGTAATCAATGAATGTTGATTAAAGTATGATTTCACAGATTTCGGTACTATGAAACAGTGGTATCGTCTAAATCAAATTAGACATGGGTTAATCTATACAAACAATCGAATGGTAAGCATGGTAGTCGCAATTTACATATTAATTACACACTAGGAAAGTAAATAAACCACCTTTATGTAGTTAGTCAGTTAGTGGGAACTTGTTTTTACAAATATCTTTAAAACTTATTAAGTTGTACTTATTTGCAAAATTACGTGAACATTAAGGAGAAGATCGATATAAAAGATTGTTTTTAATGGAAATAAAGCCAGGGAAAGAATAAAATAATAAGAACATTTATAACCTAATTTATAAATATTTGCTTTCCTTATTGGAATACAAAGAGATTATAGTTTCTTAGAACGCATAAATCCAATAAATGTTTGATTGGGAGGTTTTCGGTTAACTTAGAAAGTCTGTAAATGTATGTAATGCTCAAGATCAGTCCATAGAATGATGAATAGATGTTTTCAGTAAGGAAAATTCACGCGAATAACTAAAGTGCTTGTAAAAGTTAATTATCCATTCACAAACTTTTGTTTAAAATTATATACTACTTATATTTTTAAAAGTATGCTGAAACGTTCACCATAATCTGTAATCCCTAATGTTTGGTGTTTCTAGTTTTCGAGATTGTTTCTAATACTTGTTAAATGATTTTTATGTATTAATCCTGACATATGTTGAGGGTAGTCTGAATTTTTCGTAAAAATTTCGCTTTTTGTATTTCTGTTCATCCATTTAGGCTTCAGGTGCACAAAATTGCTTGGCATTACATTTAATGGCTGAAGGACTTTATAACCATTCAGTTCGAGTTCGTTCTGACCTAGAAGAAGATGAAGAAGATAGCGATGATATGAATACTTCTGAATAAGAATGCAATATTAAACAAAATAAAGGATATTTATAAAAAGAATTGGTCGTAAAACTTGTATATCTTTATATCATTTATTTCTTTTCACAATTTTATTTATAATCATATTTCATCAATATTCATTGAAGGACAATTTTGTCCATACTTATAAACATATTGATTTTTCATTTTTATTATTTGTTGATTTAATTCATTGAAAAATATGCTTGTACTACTAATTAATCAACTTATATTATTTGTGATTATTCACTAGTCAAATTACACATTTAAAATTCTATTTTTTTCTGATTTTCTCTACTGGTCATGGCTTCTCACTAGAAATCCGAGAATTCCCTCACGAAGTTAGTCACTAGTGAGCACATGGTAACCATCTTGGATTGGTTGAGGTTAGACATTAATAACGTTGGATGCCAGCTTAGTGGTCAAGTAGGTTAAGAGTTCGCACACGAGACCGAAAGCCCTGGGTTCGAGTCCCGCGAGCGGGATCGTGGATGTGTACTGCTGAGTAGTCCCATAATAGGACGAGACGGCCGTTCAGTGCACCCAGGTTCCCTATGATAGTCTAACATCAATCGGTTCAAGATCTCAATCAATGACTTAATAATCTCCACAACCGAATGCTGATAGTTTCTTTCGTGTTAATAGTTGTTTTAAGTAAATCATTTCTACGTAAGCATAATATTTTATTAAATTACTAAAAATATCAATGTTGATTAATTCTAATTCAAGGTTTCCTTCTAAGATTAATCATTAAAATGACTGTTGTGTTTATGATATTGGTAATTATGATTTAATATTAAAAAACATTACCATTAGGGAAACTTTGAATCGAAATAATTAAAACTTTCATGTTTGAAAAGTATCCTTAATTTTCTTTAATGGATAGAAGTCTGTTATTCCAAAAGCCGCCAATCAGAAGCAGCGAATTATCGATCGGACCAAGGACGCGTAAAACACGTGCGAGAAGCCTAGAGTACTTAACGGTCATGCTTTCCACCTAGCCCAGCCAGTCAAGTCCCAAACACCAGTCGCAGCCTCTGCAATAATAATACTCATATTTCAAACATACTGGGTTTATATACCAATCAAACAGAGCACAACGTAGCATAAAATCGAAAATAACATTTGTACAAAATATGGTCAAATGTGGGTGTGAATGTGGGAGGTAGTGACTAATTGATAGGGTATAATTGAAGAATGGTAAGACGTATAATAATGGTTCATAGGTCAAAATAAAGTTTATGATAAGAGGAATATGAATATGAATAGTTTAGTTATTAAGAATTATACGGTAGGAATATACGTTTAGTATTGATCCATAAAAGGATTCCAAAGTTACCATTCATTATGTTTATCGGGACCTAACAAAGTCATTAAAAGAGTCATGATATTATTCGTTGGTTGTGTTTACTATTTTATTTCCTATCACATAATTATTTGATTATCATAGGGAAATGTATCAAGTTGTTATTTATCTACATAGAATGTACGAAAAAAATCGAAATGTTTATAATCTTAGGATTTTGATTGATTGTTAAATATTTTCAACAATAATTTGTTATGGTAACAGTATTTGTGTGCATTTTTTAAATGATCACATCACTGACTAATTTTAGTTAAACATCCATTAAAAACCAGGATATTTGTTTCTCCTTAGTATCGGGGATTGAACCTAAGTACTTTCAGCTTCATGAAGAAAGGTTATTCCTTCCCGGTGGTGTTCTGCCGCGTTGAATATGAGGCAGATACCCACCAACAACATTAAAAGGTAGTTTAGTAGTATCGCGAATCGACTGATGTTAAACACTCAATGGTCTAGAAGTTATGTGCTCACCACAAGACTGAAAGTATTGTCCCTTGTAAAGTCGGCGAACGCATACTGTTAAGGAGTTCTGTAATGAGACGTAACAACTGTCTAGCGTTTACTATTTTTCATTGGATATGTAAATAAAATGATTTTGTGATGTAAGTTATGAGAATCAACAAGTTGTTATTTCTTTGCTATTTAAGAAAACATAGATCAGAGAGTTTACTGAATCAATCCTTGTTTCATTGTGGTTATTTAAGAAGACTGGCTTTAACTAAACAAAGATTGAAGAAAAAAATCAAAAACATGTTTTAAGGTCAACAGTTGTTTTTGATTAAGAAGTAAAACCCAAGGAAGACTCAATGGATATAGTTCAATCATTAAAGTAAATTTTATAAATAGTGTTTATGATATTGTAAATCCATATACATTTCATATTCCTCACCTATTCTCCAACCCAGAGATAAATAAGCGCTGTGAATTGAAATGAGATATAGAAGTGTGTAAGTGCTCGTTTGACATCTTTTCTATGAAGCAAGCATTAATGATTTTATGGAAGAACCAATCAGTTATAAAATAACAGATCTCCGATTTTGGAACGAAATTCACCCATGCATTTGGTTACATAGAGTTTTGGCATCATAGCTGATGTCAGTTCGTGATGAAAACTTTAAATCTGATTCCCAACCTTAACCATCAACTGTAAGTCATAGTTATAATTCCTCACACTGGTTTATAACCCCCATTTGGTCCTAGTTATTAAGTGGATACTCTCAAGGCCACTTCAACGTCACTCAAAGGTCGTCCATAAGTTATAGTCTCACCTAAAAAGCTTTTTTCACTTTGAATTAAAGTGTAGTAATAAAAAACTCTGTATTACACTAGAACCTTGATTAAAAATAATTTTAGTGACAAATTTCTCCACACACTGATATTAGATAAAGAGTAATTACAATGAAGTGTGGACTGAATGGAGGTTCTGTTAGAGTTTAGGACTTCTTAGTTATACGGCCATTACACAACATTGAACTAATAACATTCAGATCTTTCAGAGATCGTACTACATCGAGAACATAGATTTTTCTTTTTCGGTTTCAGAGTGACAATTATCTAGAAGACAAAATCTTTTCGAAATCACCAGAATCTGTTAGTAAGTTTATCGCCAAACGTTAAAGAATTTAACCAGACAAACCTTTAGTGTGTGCGGATCACTGTGTTAATATATGTGTTACAAATGACAAAATTTTGTCTAGTGTGTACGAATAAACTCATTAGACAAGAAAAAAGAAGTAGACAAATGACTGACAGCCTTCTATAAATTCTACTTGTTTATAATCTAATATTCCTATGAGAACTGTTAAGTGGGATCGTAAAAAGTAAGAAATCAAGAAGTGTAAATGTATCATTACATGGGCAGTACTTGTGTGTTCCTGTGTATAGAATTTCTAAGTGTTTGGTCTACAAGTATATATACTTCTAAGAAGACTCAGTCTGTCTCTGTTATATGTGTTTACTCTGATACACTATAAACACACTTACCATTACTGTTTTTGTTCAATGTCAATCATAGACAAGAAAAGTAAATGAAAAATTTAAAACAAAACAATAAAATAATATACCTGTGTGTTTAAATTAAACAGGAAGTGATATTTATAATTACTTAATGTAGTTAAATTACATGAGCCTATGAAATTTTATGTTTGTATCATAACATTCCATTATTTTATTATTATAGTTATCACTCAGTTTCCAATAGATGTCAATGATATAATAAGAGTACAATTGAAATAACCATGTTAAGTAGGTTGAGGTGATATATAGTTGTACAAATAAAAGTAATATGAAAAGATTCAATGTAGATTAGTCGTGGAATTGAAAGAGAACCTGAGTGAGTATTAAATCAAACCAACCAATATCTAGTCTACTAGTTTGTTGCTCGGTTGATTAAACGATGAAATTCAAATATTAACTATCTAATAATTGTAAAATAATTTGTTGTTAAGCAAAGATGGATAGTGGCTAGCAGTGGAATCTAGGACGCGCGTTTCGTCCCGTTTGGCACTCGTCAGCTGGATGCACCTGCATCCTAGGGTTGATGTTTGCTCCGGGACTCGAACCCAGTACCATTCGCTTCAAACTCCATCGCGTTATCCACTTAGCTGTTGAGTCCTGATAACCACCTACTTGTGCAATGGGGTGAAGTTTAAATTCACTTTGTGTTGTTTTACTTGTATCTTCCTGTTGTTATTTAGGACTGTAATTGGTCAGTCTCTTGTTGGCATATGTACATCCTGTGCGGATCACCTCGATATAGCCTTAAGTCACTCGAGTCCCGGAGTGAACATCAAGTCTTGGATGCAAGTAAATCCAGCTGACGAGTCCTAAATAAGACGAAACGGACGTCCTAGATTCCTCTGCTAGCTACTATCCATCTTTGTTTAAATAACTATTCATATTTTTCATCATGAAAACATGGATTTAATTCTTTTAAATTTTTTCTTCAAATTTTCTAAGTTCACAAAGAACAAACCGTTTCTAATTATAAACATGTAGAAAATAAATATTAAATTAACTTTTTCCAATGACCTTTTTCGTTTTATTTCATCAATAAATAAATAAAAAGAAACATCTATTGTTATGCAAAATAAGCCTAATAAGAGATGAGACAGAGAATAAAAAAAGAAATAGTTTGAAAGATGTTGACCGATTGTTAAGTTTAAATCTTTCATTATTTAGTTTAGATATTTATCTTTGTACATCAGTTTTATAACAAACAAAAATACAAATGAAAAGTTATTACAAAGTCTGAATGCACTGGATGGTTGTTTCTCTCTTAATTTGATAGTTGTTAGAAGTATACGTTTAGGATTTTATAAGGTAGTGAACATCGGACTATTAGGTTTATCACTGAACAATTGAGTCAGTAAGGAGCCTTGAGTAATATTTACGAAGTGATTTTAAACTGGACAACTATTAAGCAAGTTAATATACTTCATTCACAATAGGCGATCATAAAAACAGGGGACAACTTAAAGTTTGCATGATATTCAAGGTTGACAAACAGTTTATTTTTGTCAAGCCAACTCGATTTCATGTCTTGTGTTGCAAACTTAATTCTGAAAGATTGTTTGGGTTGATCGTCCTTTTATATGAATCATTATGAACGATCTGGTATTGATTAAGTATTTTGCACCAGGGAGCTCTATCTTTGAAGGTAATATCGTAACTCATTGTTGAAGACTCTAGGTGACATGGCTCAGAATCGATCACAATGGAGTAGGTGTATACACTCTTTGTCTATCCTTAAACCATGGGATTAAAGTTGCTTTATACCTTTCTTTCTA